CTGAACTCCCCTCAGATCACTGAAAGTGGAAGCGGTGTATTACATCACTTCCGGTTTCAGTGTATCCACTTGTATCCATAAATGTCCCGGTTCACACCTGTGCCATTGGAAGCACTTCGGCCAACATGCAACAACGCACAAAAGGTGTCCCATTATTTTCTATGCAGCATCTTGAAAAATTGCGATTCTTTTGGTGTGACATAAGGCACTTTAACCCCATAAGTTTCAATGGGTTCATATGAAACAACGCATTGGGTTGTGTAATTTAGTGCATGACAAGCCCGAAACCTATAGTAACCTACACTTTATTTCACCTTTATTGGCCAAACCACAAAATGCATGAAAAACGCATGGAAAATGCATAAAAAATCCACTAAAAATGCATGAGAATGCAGTGTGAATGGTGTCTAAGGACTGGTGAATGGTGTCTAAGTCTTTGTGCTTGGCTGATGCATAAATGCTTTGCCCAGCATATAGCTGGGTGAATGCCATTTGCACAGCATTCCAGCAACTAGATGGAGCCGAAATTCCCACTGCTGACCTATCATTCTGAAAATACCAGTACCTCCAGTACTTTCTGGGTCACTAGTTTGGAACATGTATGCAGTTCAGGGGTTTTGGCTTCTACTGAGAAAGCATGAAGGCTGCCATTGCTGACCTGTCGTTCTTGCAATACCAGTTGCGGGGCTGTCGTGCTAACAAGGCTCCTAGTACTTTTTGGGTCATTGGTTTGGACCACGTTTACAGATAAGGTGTAATGACTTCTACTAAGAAAGCATTGCTGACATTTCATTTTGAAAATGATAGTTGCCTGGCTGCATGCTAATCCAATAGCTCTAGTACTTGCCTGGGCACTGTTCTGGAACATGTATGCAGATTTTGACTTCGGATTGCTCTTTAAAGATCAATGTCTCATAATGGAATCCAGAGACAATCAGGCAATGGTGCCTTTGAATTCCTTTAACCAACCCGAGTGTTTAGTGAATGTATTTCTTTGTGTGTTGTTTGGCTTTATTCGATGAGCCTGAATACTGTCAAAAAGTGAGTGGCGTTTGGAAACATTTCTGGAATGGAGTAGTTCGTTCTTCTGGCCCTGTTAATAGTTAATTCGTATTTGCTGTACTGCTGTTTCCCCATTGAGGCCTCAGTTTAACTCTTTTATCTCCCTGCCTCCTCCTTTATGAAAGCACTTCTTATTAGCCTATTAACCCAGAAAGGGTGCACAGCCCCCCCCCCTCATTGTTCTGTACATAATGCATTTGACCATCTTTGCTCCCTTTTCACAAGTCACCACGGCCTGGTTACAGGGGTTGTGGGAAAGTGATGGCAATCAATGGCTTGGCTGAGCACAGGGCAAAATTAGAAAACACTTCTGGACACAGAAACACACAATCCAGTGTCACGGGATCACTTTACATGGTATAAATGACGTTAGGATATACGATGACATCAGACACATCTATACTTTAAAGAAGAACTCTGGGCATGTGAAAAGGTAACCCTTGCAGTGGGACTGCCCCCGCACTGCAAGGGTTAAGTACTCATTTTGGTTTAGGGCTAAAATAAAGACGATACAGTTACCTGATCCTCAGTCCCGCAGCGGCAACCACTCACCTCTCTCCCCCTCCACTCCAGCTGTGGAATAAAATTAATTTTAGTGTACACAAGCACAACATAATACTCATTTTTCTTTAAATATACTAGAAGATGGAGTTGTGCCATGGACATAGATATCAAACACGTCAAATCTTAAAATTGCGCGCACCCCTGAAATGGCAAACAACTATGGTACCCAAAATTGCCTGTAGGTGACGCTTTAAAAGCCTTTGCCGCTCATTCATTCAGAGTTAGCAGTGAGTGATTGCCCTACAATTATTGCTCTCATTGCAACATTCATGGAGATGTGAAACCTGTGTGGCGCAATTGTTGTTTTCACACATTAACAGCGTGGATGGGAGAATCTGTTAGATTCCAAAAAGCTGGGGAAAAAAACAATGTACAGCCAGCTTTAGGCACAATAGAGTAATAATAATAGTAATAGTATGTCTGGGATTCCATTCAAGTAGCCAGCCTGGATGAAAATTTGAAGGGCTTTTGAACAAAAGTAGGACTCAGTGATGGCAAGAGCCAGTGTACGTTCATTTTGAATGAGCCAATGATGGAGCCAGTAATGGCAAGAGCCAGGGAACGTTCATTTTAAATGAGCCAATGATGGAGCCAGTGATGACATTAGCCAATGAACGTTCATTTTGAATGAGCCAGTGATGGAGCCAGTAATGGCAAGAGCCAATGAACGTTCATTTTGAATGAGCCAATGATGGATCCAGTAATGGCAAGAGCCAGGGAACGTTCATTTTGAATGAACCAATGATGGAGCCAGTGATGGCAAGAGCCAATGAATGTTCATTTTGAATGAACCAATGATGGAGCCAGTGATGGCAAGAGCCAATGAACGTTCATTTTAAATGAGCCAATGATGTAGCCAGTGATGGCAGGAGCCAATGAACGTTCATTTCGAATGAGCCAATGATGTAGCCAGTGATGGCAAGAGCCAATGAATGTTCATTTTGAATGAGCCAATGATGGAGCCAGTGATGGCAAGAGCCAATGAACGTTCATTCTGAATGAGCCAATCATGGAACCAGTGATGGCAGGAGCCAATGAACATTCATTTCGAATGAGCCAATGATGTAGCCAGTGATGGCAAGAGCCAATGAATGCTCATTTTGAATGAGCCAATGATGGAGCCAGTGATGGCAAGACCCAATGAACGTTCATTCTGAATGAGCCAATCATGGAACCAGTGATGGCAGGAGCCAATGAACATTCATTTCGAATGAACGCTTGCGCAGAATTCTAACACTGTATACCAGCTTTAGGCTCCATTCACACTTGCACCCCTGTGCTTAGATTATCTAAATGCACAAGTAATTATAAGCCAAGGTTTTGCTTCCCAGATCATTTTTCCTGCTTTTACAAGTTCCTGCATTAAAGCAGTTTAGTCGCACTGCTTTGCGTTTAGCCGTGACTACAGTAGTACAGCTGCGTTTAGAGTTTCTGATCAGATTCTGGACGCACAGCCTTCTTTTTTCCCCTGCTTAACTAGCTACAGACAACCTATGTAGTGTCACTTTGTATGTGAAGGATCAGGTGAGGCTGCTGAGTCGTGATGTCACTACTCTTATCAGAGGGAGAAATGATGTCACAGCTGTACAAATAAGGCAATGTAAATAGTTCAGTGTGCTCCATTTATACTGCTGTATATGTCAGTGCTGTGTGAAGTCATAAAGTATTGCAATAAAAGATTTCGACATTATGATGTCACACCTTTACATACCACATCTGAAAGATTCTCAGCTAAGAGTCATGTGATCTTATCTGGAAAGTGCTGGTGTATGATGGAATGAATACAGCTAGTAATAAAATAAAAATATGGGGATATATAAAAATGTGTCTGGAAAATTCTCAGCTCAGAGTCATGTGAGGTGCTGCTATATGATGGAATAAAAACAGTTTATCAAAGAAAGAAATCTGGAAACTTCTCAGCTAAATCATATGATTTCATATGGAAAGTGTCAGTAATAGACTGAATCAATACAGCTGATAGACGCTATATATGTATGTGTGTGTGTGTATATATATAGGGTCCTCTTTGTACTGTTTATACACATATATAGGTTCCCCCTTTGTATTTTGCTTACATATACAGGGTCACCCTTTATACTGTTTATATACATATATAGGGACCCCCTTTATACTGTTTATATACATATATAGGGACCCCCTTTATACTGTTTATATACATATATAGGGTCCCCTTTATATTTTGTTTACAAATACAGGGTCCTCCTTTATACTGTTTATAAACATATATAGGGTCCCCCATGTGCTGTGTACATACATATATAGGACCCCCTTTGTACTCTTTATATACATTTATAGGATCCCCCTTTGTACTGTTTATATACATATATAGGGCCCCTCTTTATATTTTGTTTATATATACAGGGTCCTTCTTTATATTGTTTATATACATATATAGGGTCCCCCTTTGTACTGTTTATATACATATATAGGACCCCCATTGTACTGTTTATATACATGTATAGTGTCCCTCTTTATATTTTGTTTACATATACAGGGTCCTCCTTTATATTGTTTATATACATATATAGGTTCCCCTTTGTACTCTTTATATAAATATATAGGGACCCCCCCTTTGTACTGTTTATATACATATACAGGACCCCCTTTGTACTGTTTATATACATATATAGGGTCCCCTTTATATATTTTTTTTACATATACAGGGTTCTCCTTTATATTGTGTATATACATATATAGGGTCCCCCTTTGTACTGTTTATATACATATGCAGCCCCC